GAAATTATTTTTTTAAAGTATATTAGAACTTTAGTCAGAATTAAAATTAAAATCTGAATTATTTTCGATATACAAAAAAAATTTTTTTTAACAAAAATTAAAAAAAAAATTTTAAACAAAATTTTTTTTCCAAATTCGATTATTTTGTTAAAACAAGCAGAAAGTTCTTTGAATCATTCAAATCGGATGCTTAGTTCTCTCAAAAACTGCCATTTTTGCACATTTAGCTCTGTATCTTCGAAATAGGCCTGCCTTTGCCAAAAACTAGTCATCTCTTCTCCCAATCATTACAAATTGAATGTTTTTTAGATCATTCAAATCGGATGCTCCGTTCTCTCAAATACTCGATTTCTATTTTCTGCACTCTTTGCTCTTTATCTCCGTAACTGCTGGACCTGCCTTTGCCAAAAACTAATCAGCACATCTCCCTATCAATAGGAATCGAATGTTTTTTGAACCATTCAAATCGGTTGATCCGTGCGCTCCAAAACGTGAACGAAAATTGTATCCATTTTTCTGAGGTACCTATGCCAAAATGTTCAAAAACTTTCAAAACATCGAGAAATGTAAAAATTTTCAATTTCGATTTTTGGACGATTACAATAACTTATCCTAGAGGAAGTTAAAAAATCATTATTTATATATAAAGTAGAGCGGAGCTTAAAGGTGCGCGGTATATCGAAACCAAGTAAAATTCAGCATTCTTTAACAACAATTCTTGAAAGTAGAGAGAAAAAGATGTAATAACCAGCCATCAACTTTATTCTTATGACATCGCAAATAAAACGGCAATATTTGAAAATCCATAACAAAAGTATTTTCTTTCGTTGTTAGTTTTTTGCTTGTGAGCACTATTATTTAGTTTACAAGGCCTTAATATAATTTTTAAGTAACTTTATTTAATTGTAAAAAAAAATTATAAAATATATTGTTAATTTTAAGTTAGATTCAACAGTTTTTTATATAACCTCTATAAAAGCTTACACGTGGGTGGGGTAAAAAGAACTAACTGAACTTTTACCTGGCAAAATTGTAAACAATAAAAAATAGTAAAGAAAAAGTTAAAAAAGTAATTTTATTAGAGACAAATTAAATAAATAGTTATTCCAACTTTGCTGATGAATATTTCTGACAAAATACCAGATCAATGTTATATACATTGTAATCTCTGTAAAAAATTTATCCATGACATTTATATTTTGCATTGGTTGAATAACGCAGCTACTAGTTCGTAAAAATCCTTAAGATTTAAAAATAAGACATTAGGTCTGTTTGCTCTCTGGCATCCCATTTTACACCACCTACACTCCTATAGGGTAGAAAAAACCAGTTAACAATTTTTTTAAAAACAGCAAAAGAAACACATATCTACGGTGAATTAGCTGGGACTTTCACTGAACATAATCAGGCAGTTGTTTGTTTAATATGTGTTGTGATATAATTGGTTTGGTTTTCACTATATGATTCTTCAAAGTCAAATTAGACCTTTTTCTCTCTATCCTGATTTATTGTTCATGAGAAAGAAAGGCTCTAATAATAGCTGTTCAAAATTAACATTGCTAATGCCTACATTAACCTGTACAGAGTATAGACATATGATTAATGTGGAAAGAACAACTATGGGAAGATACTTCATTGCAAGTACAAAAATCTTTCTTTTAATTATATTTTTAAATTTATTTGAAAACACGTTTAAATAATGTCAGCCATAGAGTTTTTTATTAGACGTTTCAATTTCTTGCAGTATCGTTTTAATTCTGAATTTTGTACATCTTTAGCCCATTTAAAAATACCCTGTTTTATGTATCAAGACTACCAGACTATTTTCTGTTTCACTTATGATAAGCATTGCAATAAACGTGAAAAGCATTGCGTTATCAAATGATACAGCATGTACTATAAATAATTCAATGACACTTATCTGAACCCATTTCCATATGATTACTTAGCACATACGGTTCATTAATGAGACGTACTGACAGCCCGCTGAGCTGCGCCCCCACATGTGCCTTATTACGATAACTTATTAGAATTAGGCTAGGTTTACATGGTTAAATTAATAATGATAGAATTATTATTATTAACAATACGAGTATTATTTACGTCAAATAAATATTATATACAGGAATTACAGGATGTACCAGACCTTGACGTCAAGCCGAAACGGAGTGATAGTATTGACCCTAACTATCTTGAAAATATTTAGAAAAAAACAATATTTTACGTTGTTTATAAATAATTTTAATTGAAGCATTTATATATTATTTTATTATTTTGATTAGAATCTAAAGCTTTGGTGAAATTATGACCATTTTTGGTGATTGTGGTTAACTTTCATTATTTTTGTTTATTTTAAACTTTGAAACCGTTTAGCAGAAACATCATAGCAGAAAAAACACAATTGCTTCAAATTAAAAAAAAATTAAAACTTTTCGTTTAACTATGAATTTCAAATTTTTAAAAATCAGTCGACTTTTAAAGTCTCTCTTTAAAAAAAAAATTACTAATGTTGGTACTTTATTAACGATAATTTTTGGGTAAAAAAATGAAAACCTAAAAATGACGGCGAACGTACTTCGCTTGGCAGCACAATGCTTTTAATATGTATATTAATATATTATTTTTATTTTAATGACATGTTTCACATATTTAATTTAATTTAACACACGTTTAATGTCCTGGGCATAGTAAATCGCGTAGAAATGTTACGTATTGTACCCTGTACCAGGAATCGATTCACAATCGAATTATTTGTCATCTTCAGTGGTCATTTTTTTTTAAATAATAGCATTAAAAAATTGACGGTCATGGGTCCATAGCCTATTTGAACATTATGAATCGTTTGTGAGTCATAAACCAACCTAGATACTGTTATAACGTGAGAAACTTAATTATCGCAATAAAACAGTGTTATTATTTTATAAGCTTTCAACTGGCGCCCGCATGGGGAAATCATAAATCTGTACATTGTCTAGACAGGTTCTACTGGTCCAACAGACAGTCTATTCTGACTATTGAAATAAGTAATAATTACAAGTATTTCAGATTAGGAATATTTAGTAAATGAGTTCAAAACAAATACAGATGGTAAGACATTTAAATTATTTGTAGTTTTAAGTATCAACTTAAATCAAGGTAAAAATAGTTTGTGTAAACTTGTATTTTCATACTCTTTGTACGTGTGAACTTTTGCAGATTATATCTAAAAAATATATAAAACGTAAAACACATATAGCGTAGAGCGGGGCACTACCACAATTATATTGTGGAAACCAAGCCAATGATACCACAACAAATAAAAGATATTAGACAAACAACTTAATGACTAAGTCCAGTAAAACTTCCAGCTTTATTGTAGAAATTATCTTCATTGCACAAATGTGTTTTTTGTTTGCTGTTTTTCAAAAAACAGGTCAAATTTTGAGAGGATTCTATGCATAATTCAACCAACTCAAAATTTAAATTTTATCGGTACATTTTTACAAAGATGACACTGTACATAACCTTGATCAGATATTTCATCAATAATAATCATCAATAGAGTTGAAATAATTATTTATTTAATTTATCTTTTGCAAAACTGTTTTTTTAACTTAATTAACTTTACAATTTTTTTATTATTTACACCTTTTCCAGGGTTCAGTTGGTCCACCCACATGTGAGCTTTTTATAGAGGTTATATAAAAAAGACTATTCTTAAAACTAAACTTAAAATTAACATTACATCTTATAAAACAATTAAATAAGGTATACTTAAAAATTATATTAATGTCTCGTAAACTAAAAAACAGTGCTCACAACCAAAAAAACTAACAACGAAAAACTTTTGGTATGGATTTTCAAACATTGCCGTTCATAAAAGATTATACATCTTTTTGCCTCTACTTTCAAATGTTGATGCTAAAAAATTCTTAACTTGTTTTTGAGATATCTGTGGTAAACCTTTTTACCCGCGGATCTATAAGCCCCGCTTACCTAAAGTATTTAAACTGTTATTGCGTACGAATTTTTGGTCCTAAATTATAAAAATCGATGCAAAAAGAGTACCTGGTTTAAATTTTAAATAGTGGTTTATTTTTTTATCAAGTGAATGTCATGTATTGTTTTCACCACCACTACTAAATTCACCCAGTACAGATATTCTTTGACCGAATATCAGTGGTATTTTAATTATTCATATTCAATTTAATTATATACTATTATTTTTAACCTTATAATATTTTATTTATGTTTCTAATTTTATTCAGTTATTTATACAAACACATAGGACAATTTATTGTCAAGTTTTATTTTCATTAGCTGCAATCTACCAACAAGTCCCGGGTTCGCTGGTTCAATTCCGCTACCGCCAAGCCTGACATCAGGCAACTTTGATGTCAAATTTCCACTTGAGGTTATAGATTTCAAATATAGCCTCAAGAGAAAATCGCCTCTCGTGGGTATAGATGCATATATAGTAAAAAAGACAGAAAATACTTCGAGTACAGATAATTAGTCATAACTGGACTGGACAACTACTGGGTTGCCGTCCTTTCAAGATTCATATAATAAGAAAACAATTACTGAATGTCCTAAGTGTGACATATTGTAATTAACATAACAAAATAAAAAATAATAAAAATTAGTTACGATCTATTTAAAATTACTACTCTATATCTGCACACCCATTTTATTTGAATCTTTTATCAATTTCCAATTATGGTTAATAAAAAAAATAATAGAAAACTATACCTTCAACATTGTGCTTTTCAATGTCAGTATAATAATATGTTTATCACATAACAATATATCGCCTATTGTTAACACAATCGTATTTTCAAGTAATAAAAAAATATTTTTATAGATATTTTCTTCTCCAGATTCTTTTTTTGTTGCCGAGTCGTACATTCGTCGCATAGTTGCACGATAGTAATCGCAATAGGCATACTTTATCGTTCATCGTCTATTGTTCTCGATGATAAACAGAGGATAAATTATTAATATTTTTTCTCGTCCATTAGCTGGATACGACATCGGTAGTTCTTACATAGACAATGCAACAATAGGCCGAGTTCCATCATGCACTTCCCGCTCACGTAACGACGCACGTTCAGGTGATAGCAGTCAAAGCGTGAAATTTACTTCAACGATTGATAACGGGTAAGCTTCATCATCTTGACACCTTTTATAATCGTCATTCATAAGAATTTATTAAAGTAAGAAACAACCGAAACTAATGGTGCATGCCAATACGCTTATTGACAATGACAATATAGAAACATTTATGGACCATCTTCATATCGATCATCTTCTCCCCCCGCCCCATTCCCAACACAACATCACGTGTATTTTTAGTACCTAGAATAAATAATAATAAAAATAAATCGTAAAATTTTTGAATTTTTTGAAAAAAAATTGGATTTTTTTCTTAAATTGAAGTAAAAAATAAATACACGTGATATCTTACTAGACCCTTACCTCCTCACGTGATATTTTGTATTTTTTTGTCAAACCCTCCCTCCCCCTGTAAAGCTAACGGTATTAATAAACGCCCTCTAAAAACAGCAAAAATCATGATGTAATTATCACAATTAAATTATTGTAATTTTTCAAATTACTTGAATATTAGGAGTATGATATAAGAAAAATCAAAGTAGTAACTTTGCAGCTCGAGTTATTTATTTTAGTTATGAACTTTTTGAATGTTTCTGCGGAGCTTTTTATTAAGTAAAAAAAATAAATCAATTAGAAAACCTCAATGAGTACATTTTATGAGTAAAATATAGAGTAATATAATTTTTGCAAATGCAAAACCCAAAGATAAAACAGGATTTTTTTATTGGCTTTGTGTGAAGAGTTTTCTTTGGACTTCAATGAGAGTCTAATAAGAATTTAGAACATGCTCATATATCGGCGCAGTTCTGGTTTCAGCAAGAAAATAAGGTAAACATAAAAAACTACAAAAAACTTATGTTCATCATTAGTTTTGTGTGCATATGTAATAGTTTATTACATATACACAATTATTACATATGTAATAATTAATTGCATAAAAAAGATTGTATATAATTCTATCGTATTTGTTTTATGACATCTAAGTTGTAAATCCTTTTGATTATGCATTATATCAAAACGACTAATTTTAATAGTTTTAATAATTTATGATTATTGTTACAATTATTTTAAATTATTACATTAAATTAAAATTCAATGCGTTGTACCATATAATATAAACAGACTATTAAATTACTCATTATTTTCCCGTAGGATAAATTACAGTAATCGACCAAAAATGAAAAATGAAAATTTTTGCATATCTTTACGTTTCAGTGCTTTCTGCTAACATTTTGGCAAACCTTAGAAAAAATCGATGTTTGTGTGTATATATGTAGGGGTACAATTTTTTATTCACGATTTTGAGCGCACGAATCAACCGATTTGAATGATTCAAAAAGCATTCGATTCTTATTGATAGGAAGACGTGTTGATTAGTTTTTGGCAAAAACAGGTACGGCTGTGTTGGAGATATGGAACAAAAAGAGCAGAAAATTGAAACTCGGTTTTTGCGATAACAGGGCATCCAATTACAATGATTCAAAAGTAATAGGTTTGTATTGACGGAGAGATGTGTTGATTGGGTTTTTGCAAAGGAGATATAGAGCAAAAAGTGCAAAAATAGCAGTTTCTGAGAGAAACGGAGCATCCTATATGAATGATTGAAAAAAAACATTCGTTTCGTAATGATGGAGAGATCCTCATCAGTTTTTTTTTTTTTTTTTGAAAAGGCAGTTTCAGCCGTTTTGGAGATACGGACCAACATGTGCAAAAATAGCAGTTATTGAGAGAACAGATTATCTGATAAGAACAGTTCAAATAACATTATGCTTGTGTTGACAGTGTGAAGATTTTGCAATGAAATTTAATAGTCATATTCAAACATAAGTACACATATTCATAAAACATTTACAGTGGACTTTAGATTAGATTGATTGTGCACAAAATAATCATTCTTCAATTCAAAGAAATTGCAACAAAGTTTTGTATCGCGTCATTTGTACCGGCAATGGATACATTTACCTATTTTGCATTAGCATATACTCAATCGGATTGATTTCCGAATATATTTATTTGCCGTGCGAGGCACGCTCGCGGAATATTCAGCGGACGCGTCGCGCGTTTTGTGGGAAGGATGTGGCCTTGTCAAGGCATCCGTATTGTTTTCAAGCCTCGTGCGTGACTCTCATACCACGTTAGGGCTCGCGATGCGATGCGGTAGTCGCTTGCCGATGATAACACGTATCTCCTATCATCCAGGCATTGTTAAAAAGGATGTGTGATTTTATCAATTGTAGTGATATATTAAACTATTCTACAATGTTATCATTATATGCATAAATGAATAATTTTAATTCTCAAAGATAAATTGTAGAATAATAATAATCATACTTCTGTACTATTCCATCTTTTATCCTATACTGAAAAACGATTAATCAATAGTTTGAGTAGTCAATTGGATTTGATCAATCTAATCTAATGATCTCGTGATTTTTCGTTCTACTATTCGCCGGTTTAGCTTTTCGTTCCTCACAGTACAATATCGCTTATATATTACAATTTGGCATATTAGGGATCGTTCAAGTATTACGTAAGCAGATTTATTGCAATTATTTACTCCCCCCCCCCATCATCCTTGTCCGCAAAAGTAAGCAAAGCTCTTACCCCCTACCCCCATGCTTACGTAAACATTCTGCAATTAATGTATTGTTTTTTTAAATATTCTAATTATCAGGTTATAATTATAATTTTAAAAATAAGAAAATAGGTTTAAGATGTAGAGATTTTACTGATATGGTATTCAACATAGAGTAACAAAATTATTATAATCTTACGAACATAACAAATTTATTTTAAATTTTTGGTACTAGCAAAGGCAATGTAAGGTTGTCATTCGGTAAAAAAAATAAAAATACTGCCTATGACGTAATCATCATCCAGACTCCCCTGCCCCCCATGTCAATCCAAAATAAACAAATCCATAACACCCCGTCCCCCTATAGTGCCTACGTAATACTTGAACGGCCCCTTGCATATAAAACTCATTGCATTATTATAGCATCTATTAAAACTTATATTTATCAATTTTGTGGTTTATGGTTTTATTATTTCTGCGTATACTTGTGTCGCCTATAGATGACATCCTGTATATCAAAAATTGCTTTAGTAATTATCACTTTGCATTAAATTATTAAAAATTCAAATTTTTTAATGTAGTTTTTAGAAATATTTTTTAATTTTTATAAACTTTCCGTAGAGTAACTTAAAGTAATCGCAAAAAAATCGAAGATCAAGATTTTTGTATATATTTACGTTTCAAGACCTCCTGAACATTTTGGCATACCTTAGAAAAAATGGTTAGTAGTCTGTATGTTTGTATACAATTTTTCGTCCCATGGATCAACCAATTTGAATGATTCTTAAAACATTTAATTCCTATTGAAGACGAGACCTACTAGTTTTTTGACAAAGGCAGGTCCAGCCGTTTTGAAGATACTGTCAAAAAGAGCAAAAAATGCAAGTCAATTGTTGACAGAAAAAAGCGTTCGATTTGAATGATTCACTTGTAGAACATTTCACGTGTATTGACTTGACGGATTGAAGAGTTAATTAAATTTTTGGAAAGGCAGGTCCAGCGTTTTTGAGGATCCAATAAAGAAAGTTTTAAAGAAATACCATTTAGCGGTAAAAATGATCATTAAACTTATCACATCCAATTATAAAATATTTCATATAGATTTTAATAATATGTATAAATTTTTATTTTTTTATGGGTTCCGTACCAAGATTTATAATGTTTAACAGAAATAGCACCAATATATTTTGTTATTAAAACAGCTATGCAGCTAACTTTGAAAAAAATTCAACGTTGTCAAAAAAATTTAAAATTTCAAAAAATTGCTGGATTATCAAAAATGATAAAATAATTCCAAATTTTCAAATAATCTCAAAATATGTTGTGTAAGAAATACTTGTGCAGCTTGCTGTCTCGTACAGCAGTTCACTTCCGCGGAAAACACTCTCGTAGGAAAAGAGCTATTTTTAATAAATTACCTGTTCCCATTTGCCAATGCTTTTATCAATTCCAAATCAGTATCTTAGACTTTAAAATTGTCAGACTAAAATTTGACTGGTTCTGTCACTGACATATTATCTTACACGTCAAATTGACCATTTTTTTTGGCTTAAATTGTATTGCTATTTTTGTATAGTAAAAAATAAAATATAACGATAATATGGCCTTTTCCTCATAATTGAGATGGAAATGTAGAATCAATTGAAACTTTTCACACATAGGTTCCCAAATAATGTCAGATTTATATAGTGATCTTATCACTGTCTTACGATAGTGATCTTTCTTTTTAAATTATATAACTATTATCGATAATTTGTATATAATATGAATGAGTGTATAAAGCTTGCTTATATTTTAAGCTAGATCCATGTATTATTATATCGTCAAAAATATTTGCATGTAAATTACGTAAATCAAAAGTTGTTCAGTTTTGTCATGTTTTTTTTTATAAATACCCAGAAAATTAAAATAATAATTAATTTGCGATAAATATGAAATATATCGCCGCTAAATTCTTCGCTTATGAATTCATAATTTTATTCATAGAAATTTATAAATAAACACCTAAATTAATATTCAGTTTTTTATTGTATTTATTAAGTAACAATATTCTCGTTTTTTTTGTTATGCCAAGAATAAATAAAACCTGTTTTCATTGGAAAGTTTTTCTAATGACTTCCAGATTGATTGCTGTTGATACAGTATAATTGTAATCATCCGCTCGCATTGTTTTTTACTGAACTATTAATAATCTATCGAAATAAAAACTCTAAATGGCTATTCTATGTAGATGATGCCAAGACGAAAAAAGCGTCGCATTTCATTCGATAGTGAAGATAGTACGTGTATCTGGGCCCCCTTTATTAAAATGTTATAATAAATGATCGTACGGTAAATTGTAGTGATTAACATGGGAACAGACCATTGGCTTCTAGTATTAAGAGTCCCTGTGGCCGAACTAGTCCTATTATTCAAACGATTAGTCTGGAAATATTATTATAAGGATTGGCGCCTAAAGCCAAATACGACT